CAAAATGAGATCTTGGCCACGTTTCTACGATCTTGAAAGACCGAGTTACAGGGTGTTTAACACTACGAATATAAACTCATTTGCTTTAATGTCGAATTTTCGACCTGTATCGTATTTTCTATGGCACTTTGACACAACATCGTAGAAACGTGGCCAAGATCTCATTTTGTGCAGAATTGAAGGGGCTATCTAATGCGGTGGTTGAAAAACTTCTGAAAGAAATTTCAATGCCACTAGGTTTTCTAGAAAACCAAGTTTTTCAGAAATCTCTAACTCAATACCCCGNATGTGGTCAGCAGGCGTTCTACAAGTTAGGCCAAATCCGCCAGAAAATGCATTTTCCCGCTGCGAGGGTAAAATGGCTATAACTTTTTTTCTAACAAGACTAGAGACTTGCGGTTTTCACCATTCGGTTCAGTTTAGGTTATCATGAGGTGTCTCCGGATGCCACAAGTCCTTTTGGTGCTTTTTTGTGATATCCTACCTTTGTGTAAAATAAAATTTCAATTTCAATTTCAATTTCTCGATCGACAGATGAAATTGAACTTGGTGAATTATTATTAAATCGTTACTGTGAACAAGCAGCAATAATTTATGATGATAAATCAATTGAAATACTTTCATTGCATGCCGAACAAGTACGAACACATAACGGCTTCGCCTTTACATCAGCATTTGCCTTTGAATCGTGCATTAGATTTATTAAAAAGAAAGCTCATGGAAGTTAAAATTTAGGTAAGTCACTGCATACTGTGTTCCAACAACTGTTACTTTAATGTGCGATTGTATCTTATGGGATCCTGCCGTTGTATGATATAGAGACTGCACCGTTATTCTCTCAGAGATTGTCAGAAACTGGTTTAGCTTAATATTACGGAATAAAGGAGTAGTTTCTCTAATCTTATTCTTATATAACGCCAAAACTGTCATTGTTTTTATTTTCATCAGCTACACAGATTGCATATTGGACAAATCTGACTTGTATGATGCATCCAAATAAAACTGAACTATCAACAACAACTGGTCTTAATCAAATTGACCTTCTACATACATCTATCGATCCATTCAGACAAGTATTGGTAAATCTTCTCGTGAACAAACAGCAACAGCAAAAAATTAAATTGTTTAAACGTTATAAAAAGTTTTTTATTACTTATCATTCAATTTTATATGATCAGCGATTTAGTTGTGCCAGTTATATAATTTCGTTTGAGTCTGACCAACAAAAAACTGATTATGGGAATGTTATTCTGTTTTTATCATATCATGAACAATATTTCGTTTTTGTGCAACTATATGAGCGAACAAAAAAGCTATTATCACAATACGTTACAATTCCAGATGAAATTAATAATACCCTGAATGATTTATATCCTCTAGTTAGATTAACAAATAATTATTCTGTTATATCAGTTGATAAAATTAAACACAAATGTATTCGTACACAATTTGAAGATGCGTTTTGTATATCGGAAGATCGTGTTGATTTTGAGCACGATTGAAAAAGTTTTTTATTCTTATTATTGATATAGTTATTTGTGGTCTTTACTTGTGCTTTTTTTTTGCTGCTATCACAAGACGAATTCGTCGCTGTTAACATACTGATTATTTATTTGATTTGTTTGTTTGCGTTTTACTTAAAAACGTTAACCATACATTTATTTTCTTCGCAGATATTTAATCTAGAAAAATGGCATCCAATGCCAGGGGTAACCCCTATGCCAAACAATATTAAACATCAAGCCAGTCAATATTAGATTTAGAGCAACAATACTGAGTAATTTTTACTCAAGATAATTCATTTTCAATCGTTAAAGAAAAGCAATTTACACGTACTGATCATGGTCTTATTCATGTTCATAGCGGTGGTAAAGTTTATACAGGATTTATTTTTCAAACAGGTAGATATTTGCAACTCGTTGGTTATATGTACGGTCGCGTTGTCTATGACACTCTTTTCCTCTTAGATGTGTCCTCTTTCTCAGCAAAGTGTCCTGTTTTTCGTTGTTTTCTTGTGTAGAAAATTCTCTTCTCTAACCAACCATTTTCTATTTTTAAAAGCTCAGTTGTGAGCCCAAGTTTACTTTCTGTAGAAAAATATCGCCTTTCGTCTTCTAGGAACATTGAAAGAGTTGGAAAAAGTAGCAAAAACAATGTCAAAACCACTAAATTTTGAAATTGACAGTGATTACGAACCCAATGATATATCTTGTACAGATCACCATACTCGTAAGTCAAACCTATAATATCTGAAAAGTAAAAGAATTTTAGCGTTTGAATTTAATTTTTTTAGAACAAAAACGAAAACAAAATCAGCATTCCAATGTTTTTCAAGGTTTCATAACATTTGAGACAGTCTTGCAGTTATCAGATAGCTTCTTTTGTTTTAGCCAGTCAAAATACAAACAGTATTGTATGTACAACACAAAAAGCGAGTACTACAGGTGAAACTTTATCTAAATTATTTTTATCTGATTCAGCAATGCGTAAGCATGTTTAATGCTTTGTACTTATACTTATTTTTTTCTGTTTGTTAAGCAGCTCCATCCTCTCATCAAACCATAATACTTAAGGAACCAAGTGTACCTTCTCCAAGCCTTAAACGTCGATTAGAAAGAACTAAAACAACAACTCTGATTGAGTCAACAACAAAGAAATCTCCAAGACAACCTGAAGCAATAACTATTCCAAAACTACAAGGAATTCCATTATTAGATAATATATTGAATGTCGCAAATACATCATTACATAGTGACGATGACGATGATGATAACGGCAACAACAATTTTCTCTATCGGGAAGAACGACGAACTTTAGGTGATCATCAACAACGCATAGACAAACATTCATCTTATCTTACAAATTCTTTACCATTTCCATCAACATCCGCAAGTAATGACAATGGACAAGATGGATTATTACTCTTACAACAACTTTCATCTGAAATAAAGAAAATGGCAGCCACACAAACTAAGTCTTTATCGTCTATATTAAAATTAGAAAAAATGATGTGTGGATTATCGAACAATCAAGTTAAAATTCAAAAAGCATTTAGTAAAAAAAAAGTGAGCAAAACTATCTCATTACTACTGATTCGATTTCGCTTCTATTCGTTTAAGATTTACATACCATTGGAAGTTATCTCGCAAGGAAAAGATGATAAAGAATATGAAAGTAAAACAGATTTTAAAAGCAAAATTGTGAGTATAACAAACAACATCGTTTAGCTTATTACATTAGTTGCGCTTTTCTCTCAGATACTCGAAGTAAGTGATCAAACACAAATTGATTTGTTACACATCCCAGCAACACTAGAGAAAGCCAATTTATATGTAACTGGTCTTGTTGATTTAATATTTGATCGGCAAGAACTAGTTGATATGCGTACAGAAGATGTTCCAAAAAGTTTAGGTTATAAAACAATCGAAGGTTGGTGAAATCGTGAGATGCACAGGTTTTAGAAGTAAAAAGAGTTTCTCTCTTTATATTTTCAGATTGTGTTCGTTCTAAATTCAAATTAGACAAAGAAACATTTTATTCTTTATGGCCGGAATTACACGAGAAAATTTTGGCTAAAAGACGTCATATTAAATCTGCATTGAAAAAAGTAAAAGAGACAGAAAAACAAGAATCATCCTCATTAAAATCATTAGAAAATGAACAATTTGATACATTAGAAACAAATATAACTAGCTAACAGTTAAGGTCTTCGTATTATTGTTTTGATAAAACAGACGTTTTTTTTTCTGTTACAAGTAATTTTTTTTGTACATGTTGGTTACCGTTGTGCAACTCGTGAGTTTTGAGGAAACTAAATCAGGACATGAAGACATAAAAGGGGTGACGACAAATGATCGAAAGTATTTTCATCGAACTACATTTCGTTGACGACATTCCATCGACAGATTTTTCATCGAACGACATTTGGTCGCATTGATGTACTATTGAATTTTCTTAGATAACTGAAGGATAACTGCAAAATAAATAAAAGTACACTTAGTGTAAGCAGCTTGAGTTGAAGGACGGTTTAGGAAATGTAAGTTAATTCATCGACATGTGACATTGTTTTTTCAGTTACATATCTATAACCATTAAAACGTGTGTCTTTAGTTATTGATATTTATAATCAAATTTTACTCCGAAGAACGTTTATGAAAGTGATAGAATGGTTTACTTTTGACGATAACATTCTCGTATCGCACAAATCATGTAAACAGTGAGAAAAACAATCTGACATGTGTACATATATTGCTTTATTAACTTTTTAAAAAACGTTTGTGTCCTTCTATGATCACGTTCAAATCGTACGACATTTAAAGGCAGTTTTTTTCTCCTCTACTTTATGTGTTTCATTTTGTCACATGTCGAAGAATTAACTTACATTTTCTAAACCGTCGTTCAACTCAAGCTACTTACAGTCAGTTGACTTTTATTTACTTTGTGATTAGCGTTCAGTTATGTAGGAAAATTCAATGGTACATCAGTGCGACGAAATGTCGTTCGATGAAAAGTGTGTGAGATGAAAATCTTTCGATGAAACGTCGCCAATGAAAGGTCGTTCGACGAAAATACTTTCGATGATTTGTCGTGGACTCGATATAAAACGACCTCTAGAATATTTTTTTTATTTTATCTGTCTGCTATTGTCTTTTCTTTTGCAGTTTTTTTACGTGATATCGGGAACATTCTGTTTTTTCTTATATTGCGAAATTGCTGTCTCTTTAACGTATTCTCTGATGAAAATTATTCGTATAAAAATCTCTCTCGCGTCATTTATGTTTTTATTGCCTTTTCCTATGTGTGAACGCAGTTATAACGAGTGATAAGACAAATAAAACAGTAAAAAATGTGATTGGTAGTAGATTTGCTTGAAAGAATATGTTGGTCAGTATGGAAAAATATTACGAAAATTTGATATATTACGGCGTAATTACAAGTTTTGCTGCTGAACACGACGGCGTAACACTACCAAAAATCGTAATTACGGCGTAAAGCGATCGTAATAGCGCCCACAATTACGTTCGCAATGTTGGCATAGCTACGGCGTAATTTGCCCGTAATTTAAAACATGGGTCCCTTCTGAAATCCCACCATAATGAGATGCCATACAGTAACGTAATTTTCGTCTTTTCTGTTACTTTAGAATGGATACTCTTGTTATCGGAAGTAGGGGTGTTAATTTAGTTTTATTGTTCATTTATAATAATGGATAAATATAAATGATTCATTTACTTTTATAAAATCAAGATAATTTTTTTCATTTAGTCATATTTATTTTATAAAATTAAATGGATCATTTATAGTTATTTTTTAAAATAACACTAGATTCACACCTCTAATCAGAAGTACTGTTTCTATTTTGCGCGTTGCTCAAGGACATTTACGTTCTAATAAAACATACTAGAACCGAGGAGGTACGCTGTTTTTCGTAATCTGTTGTCCTAAAACAGATTTGGTTAAATTTTAGACTACTAGGACGATTATCTGGAATTATTAACAAGTCTTCTCCTTTTTAATTATACAAACTTCTTTTCTGTTGCTCCTTTTTTTGGATTGCATAAACTTTTGAAATCATCATTTTCAGATTTGAGATTTCTTTCATAATCTCAGTACCTCGATCACGATTAGATTCATCCAAAACAATTTTGGATGATGGTGACAGAAGACATTCAGATGATGATGCAGCTCTTGTTGCTGTTTTGGGAGGAGCGACTGTTGTTTCATCTAAACGATAAAATTTAGAAAAAACTTTAGATTATACGAAACTAAGAGTAGTGATGCAGCATTGTAAATCCCAACCTTTTTCATTCAGCAATATGCGATCAATTTGATCAAGAAATGACATGTTCGCATCATCACTTGCAAAACTAGCATTTGATGGTTTATTGTCTACTACTTTTTGTCTTTTCTGTTGCTTTCTTGTTTTGCTACGTTTCAGTTTTACGACTGAGGGTTGATCGTCATCAGAACCGGAATTAACAGCATCTTGTTCTGACTCACTACTGCCACTTATTTCAGTCTCCGTTGATGTCCATTCTTTTGCTACATTTGTACGTTCATATTCCATTTGAAAATTTCTACATTCATCATGTGTCCCTGAAAAAAACAAGTTTCCATTGCAGTCTTGCATAAACATCGTGCGAAGGTTGATAGCTGTCCATATCCATCTAACGCAGGACTCCTACTACAGCACGCCTGAATTCAAGATTACCTGAGAATTCAACTTTGCACGAGTACCAGCCTTCGAGATATTTCGCTTCAAAAGAAAATTTTGAGACCAGACAAATCAGTTTTTCTGGCCAAATACCATGTGTCTTTTTGGTCGGAAACGACACGAAACAAAAGACTTCTTTTTTTGGAGCATGATTTTTCCTTAAAATATGAGCGAATTTGCCTTTTGAAGCAGCCATTAGAAACAGATAAGCAAACAGAAAATAAAATAACTTGTTCGTTTATTCAGACATTTTTGCGCCATTTAGCAGTCGTTTGTTCCAAGTGGTAGAAACGCTATTTAGCAGAAACG